TGCTCCTAGTCCACGTTTTTTGTCTATAAAGTGGGCTGTGGTTTTTGGCAGGAGATACTTACTTTTGAACCGGAAGTGTTTTCTTGTCAGAACAGGTCCCCCATCCCTAGGAAAAGGAGTCTAAGGGGACTGAAACCCTCCCAGTGTGAGCCAGTCCCGAGACAGGCAGGAGCAGGGCTGAGGCAGCTGTGGTGCCTTCCGCGTCTCCAGGGCCTCTCCTCCCACGCATGCAGATGCACACTGGTCTGCAGTGTGGGTAGGACCCTCGGAAGGAGCTGCACAGCCCGGATTGCCTTTACTGCATTATTTAAAGTACAGTTCTTTGCCTGTTTCTGGATCTTGGCTCAGTGTGTGGATTTTTCAGTTCATTCTTTAACGTTGACCTTTGAGCCAGCACTGAGCCTGGGGGTTGGATCTTGAAGGCCGTGATCAGGAGAGCCCTTGCTTTCTGGAAACAGTGTTTGCTTCTGCACATGCTCCTGTAACTCTAACCCAACTGTGTTTTCTCTCTCGGTTGTTTTCCCGACTGTTGCTTGTGGATTTTCAGATTATAAGACTGGTTTTGGAGGCAAATTCGGTGTTCAGTCGGAGAGGCAGGACTCCGCTGCCGTGGGGTTTGATTACAAGGAGAAGCTGGCCAAGCACGAGTCCCAGCAAGGCACAGTTGCCACTAGCCTCCTACTTCCCCCTCCCTCTCCCGTGCAGCCACTTCTAGCACAGACTTCAGGGCTCACCATCATCGTCTGCAACACAGTCCTCCTGTGTCACCAGCTGTCAACTGTCAGGCCATTGGGCAGTTAAACCCACGTCTGTTAGAGCGACACTGATTTTGGAGCTTGCGATCTGCTTATGGCAGGAAGCGCCAGTTAGTGAGTGGGTGCTGTCTAACCCTGTGACTCATCCAGTCTCTGGACCGGGCATCTCCGCTCACCAGCAGCATCCTGCCCGAGCCTGTTCTGCTGTTAATGTGACTGCTGTGAGCCATTGAGTCAGGCCTTCCTGCCTTCCAGATGACAAGAGAGGTGTTTGCTCCAACCAAGCCACTGGCCATTTGACCAGGGGCTTCGTAGCAGTAAGGCCCAGGAGACAGGCGTGTCCTGTGTGGTCTCTGTGTGTCATTTGTGGTGGTGTTTTTGGCCAGGGGCGGGAGGTTTCTCGTTTGTTCGTTTGATGACACCGTGTGTGTGACGTCTCCACACAGAGCCACACAGTGTGTGCGTGAAGCCAGCTCCGCACCTTCCGTAGAGCAGTTATTTTGCTACCTTCAGAATCTGGACTTGCTTGTTAGAGCCTGAACACGTAATTGGAAAAACAGTCATTCCCTAACCCTGCAGGGCAGATTCTAGGCTTCCCACCTGCCGCGTTAGAAACGCACAGCAGTGTTGAGGCCTGGGCAGGTAAACACCTGGGTGGTCCCACAGACTGCATGGAGATGACGGTGGCTCTCCGTGGCCTCACTCTGCATGACGGTGTGACTTTCATGTGGATCTGTGTTGCTGCAACAGAAGTGTTTGGCTGGTAGAGTTTCCACATGGATTTTTTTTTTTCTTTTAAAAAGCAAGAGAACAAACTGCGATTGAGCCTCTTTTTAGCGCTCAGTAGAGCAGGAGCACAGGAAGCAGATGAGAATAAGCTCGTGCTGGTGCAGAAGACTGTGCTATTGAAGTGGCGTGCTGTAAAGGCCTGTCCCTGCCCTCTTTCCTCGGCCTAGCTCCTCAGCCTGCCGCCCTGCCCCTCCTGCCCCTCAGGGAATGCTGAAGCCCGCCCCTGGCCTGTGCTCGGCTTCCCCTGCCTGCGGTGCACCACCTTGGGTGGAAGCAAAGCTTGCCTTGCACGTAGAGCCTCGCTTGGTTGTTGCCTTTTCTCCTGCTGTGGCTCACCATCCTGGGCTGTCTCTGGATCTGTCTGCATGCACCCGCGGTCGGCCCCACGCTCGCCTCCACCTCGCAGTAAGTGTTGTGTTTTGCCTCGTTTCAGACTACTCCAAAGGATTCGGTGGGAAGTACGGGGTACAGAAGGATCGGATGGATAAGGTAAATATTCAGACCCGGAGCTTGGTGTCTTCTGGGTGGGCGTGGCTCACTGCTGGCCGCCATCTGCGCACGTGATTTCCGTCGATGACTGACTCGGACAGTCCTGTGCTCCTCATGGCCACGCTGTGGGATAGGATTGGCACTGGCCCACCTCCTAGCTGGGGGCCGCAGGCCAGGCAGGCTCAGCACCTGCTGCAGCACAGCAGTGGACGGCTGGGCTGCCACGGGAACCCGGGTGGTCAACGTGAGCGGTGAGGGCCTCGAGGGCTCACGCCTATTTGAGCTTAAATTCTTAACAGTAAATCAGGCTGGAACCTGAGTGTGTTAGACTGAGCGTGGTGCTGCCCCGTTGGCGGCCGGCGCTGCCTGTGTGACGATGCGTTGTCTCCTGTCTTCAGCCTCACGGAGACTCAGACTCCACACTGCCTGCTCCTGTGCGTGGCTGGTGGTCACAGGTGGCAGGGCCAGTCCTTGCCTTGCAGTTGACCACACACGGTGCCATCCAGGGAATCCTGATGTGGGCAGGCAGAGCAGGTGTTTGGACTGGGGTCCCCAGGGAGCGGTCACTGGGGCTCATTTCTGAGGGCAGCTGGGAGTTCACCAGGAGCGAAAGCTCAGGAGACCATAGAAGGGCGAGGCGTGGGCCCGGGTGGGACAGGAGTCACAGCAGGTTCTCAAGGAGCTGAGCTGCAGAGGGAGGGTGGGGAGGAGGGATAGAGCCAGCCCGGAGAGCGTCAAATGCTATAGAGTATTCTGCACGTCATTATGTGGCATGCTCGACCCTGAAAAGTTTAGCAGGCAAGGGACAGTGCAGGGATCTGCTTTGGGTGGATGTGGGGCCAACTGTGGAGCTGGAGAACTGGGAGGAGCAGATGTGGCTGTCAGTGAGAGACAGCTTGGGTAGGGCCAGGGCTGGGCCCACTGCGTGCAGAGTGGGGAAGGGGAGTAGGCATGCGGTCAGGACACTGGGCAGGGGACCCAGAGGTGGCAGGGGCCTTGCAGGACGCTGGGAAGGGTGGAGGGAATGAGCTCCCCTGTGGGTGGGCCACAGGTTGTGGGTTTGAGGCTGGAACCTGAGGGGCTGCCTGTGCTGAGTGTCTGTGGTCAGCATTGATGGTTTGGTGGTGACTGCTTGTGAGCACATGGGGAGGCAGCGTGAGGGTGCTGCCTTTGGGGTTCTTGTCTTTAATCCAGGAGGGGGTGGTGTCTCTCTCTCTCGGTTTGCTGTGCAGTTAAGCCCCAGGCTTAGGGTGACGCAACTGCCTGGGTCCCACTACATCATGGCATTGGGGCTACAACCCAGGCTGGGAGGTGAGGTCGTTCCCTGAGGGTGAGGCGATGTTTCCAGGGGTTCTGGTGGGTGACTGGACCCAGTAAGGCCGATGGCCTTGCCTTTGAACAGGTGTGAGCAGCTCAGGGGACGTGGAATGGACCCTGGAGCTGACTGACAGGAGGAGGGAACAGGGTCCGAGGAATGAGGGGCAGGCCGGGAACGGGGGTGAGCAGGAGGTGCTGGGCAGAAAGGGGCCTTGGGGTGGGGGCTCTGGTGGCTTCTGAGCCTCAGGGGTTCTCATCAGAGGTGGTGAAACCTGCAGTGAACCTGGGCACGGCCACTGGTCTTCACGAGCCCTGCCACTCTGCGCCCGAGTGAGCACGTAAGAGTCATCGCCATCGTTTGCTCAGACCAGAGTTGCGTCCCCTACAACGCAGAAAGGTGTGATTGCACCACTGGGAAGTGTGGAGGACGGGCCACCTGAGGCTTGCGTGTGTCCCCAGCGTCGTCTTCCTGTAAATGCTCACACCTCTGGGTGGCGAGGGAGGGTGGGAAAGGCTTGAAGCTGGTCCCAGAATTGGTGTATGATAGAGCAGATGGAGATACTTTCTTCTGCTAATGCTGACTCATGATCGCCTGCAAATGTGGTTGGTAATGTTTTTCATGCCTCAGATAATGTGCAAAACCGAGAGGCCACGATGAGCGCTCCAGGCTATGTCCTGGGCCTTCGGGAAGAGCTGGGGAAGGGATTTGCATCTGGTAGGAGCCATCACAGGGCATGGAGGAAAGGGAAAAGCGCTTTCCTGACGCCCACTTCCTGTCTCCACAGAATGCGTCAACCTTTGAGGATGTCGTCCAGGTGTCCTCTGCCTACCAGAAGACGGTACCTGTTGAAGCTGGTGAGTCCCGGCTGATCCCAGGGGCACCGCGTGGTTTCCCAGGAAAACACTGAGGGGAAGGACAGACGCACCACTAGTAGAAAACGTGGTTGTTGCCACGTATTTTTGGGAAATGGTCCTTTTGATGAAGATCCTGTTTCTCCTGCAGAGGTTTAGAGTTACCTTTCAGACGCAGCGTGGTGTACAGTTCTTTCCGTGGGGTCCGTTTCAAGGGGCTCTTCCCACAGCAAGGAGGGGTGTTAAGTGCACATCACAAGGGTCCAACTTCCAGGAGCAGCTGGGACCTGCCCAGCTCCCTACGTCACTTGGTCACAGCTGTGACGGGAAGAGGATGTCAGGATGTCTGTGTGCAGGTGACAGCAGACATGGTCTCCGCTGCTGGTTCTTGGGCCCTTGACGAGGTAGCTCAAAACCTGCCTTTTCTGTGCTGGGCACACGATGGAGTCATAGGTGGGCCATGCCCGGGAGAATCGGGTAGTTGAGGAATGTTATACATGAAAGCAAGTGCTAAATTTAACCCAGGCCAAAGAGAGCCGCCACCGCCTGACTGCGGGGGCCATGGATCCACAGTTCTCGGAGTTCGAGGGCCCAGGACACACACTTTGGCTTCTAGTGAGAACCCACAAGACGTTGATGTATTTGATGACACTGACTATATTAGAAATTAGGAATGTTTTATTTATTTATCTTTTTTGAGACAGGGCCTTGCTGTGTCATCCAGGCGGGACTGCAGCCTCAGTCTCCTGGGCTCCAGCAGTCCTCTTGCCTCAGCCTCCGAGTAGCTGGAACTATAAGTGCATGCCACCATGCCCAGTTTATTTTTAGTAGAGATGAGGTCTCACTAAAAGAGAGAGACCTGGTCTTGAACCCCTTCGCTCAAGTGATCCACCTGCCTCAACCTCCCAAAGTGCTGGGATTACAGGCATGAGCCACCACAGCCATTGGAAAGTTATAAATCGATTCACTTAAAAATAATAAAACTAGGGCCAGGTGCAGTAGCTCACGGCTGTAATCCCAGCACTTCGGGAGGTCAAGGCGGATGGATCACCTGAGGTCAGGAGTTTGAGACCAGCCTGGACAACATGTTGAAACCCCGTTTCTACTAAAAATACAAAAATTAGCTGGGCGTGGTGGCGTGTGCCTGTAATCCTAGCTACTCAGGAGGCCAAGACAGGAGAATTGCTTGAACCCGGGAGGTGGAGGTTGCAGTGAGCTGAGATTGTACCACTGCACTCCGGCCAGAGTGACAAGAACAAAACTACTTCTCAAAAAATAACAATGAAACGGGCCGTGTGCAGTGGCTCGTGCCTATAAGGCCAGCACTTAGAAGAGTGGCATGGATTGGTTTTTGTGAATCTCCTTAATAGAGGACGGCTGCGTTCTCACATCTGCTTCTGCAGTCTGTCGATGTTACGTTGTTTAGGGAGAACATGTGGAATTGCCTAGGAAGGCAGCTGGGAAAGGGAGGGGCATCTGTAGCCTTGAGGGCAGTGAGGGTGTCCCACGGTGCCACCCAGGCTTGGCAGATGGTGGCATCGCAGGCTGGCTCCTTTGGCCCTGTGAAGGGCTCGCTTCCCCAGCATGCTCGGGCAGCACCGTGTGTTGGTGATTTGGAAGGTGCTGGATCTCTTGATCCAGCTTCCAGTGTCCAACTTCCAGTTGCGGACACACTTTTCTCATTATACGGTACCAAAAAAATCACACTTGCTGTCATCGTCAACCTCATCGGCATAGGCTAAGTGGAAATTGTCATGTTCATGTGGCAGCTTCCCGTTTTTCAAAATTCTTTTACTTGGAAGCTGGCGTTTTCCCACTGGCAACAAACACTACAGTAATTTTTCCTGACACAGTAGGCTTAGTTCAGCCACTTGGGAGAAAACTGCTGCTGGAGACCCAGCTTCACACGGCCGTGGTTGTCTGTCAGTTGTCGTTTCGGGAGAAAACGCTATTCCATGAGAGAACAGTCACCTTGCAGCCCTAACAGTTGTATCTGTGTACCCTGAGACGGGCGACAGCCCCTGCAGTCCTGTACACAGCAGGGGTGGCTCACGTGTCTTCCCCGCTTTCGACTTAAATTTTTATTATTTCTTTTAATAGATGTGGGATCTCACCATGTTTTCCAGGCTGGTCTCCAACTCCTGGGCTCAGGCAGTCCTCCTGCCTCAACCTCCCAAAGTGTGGGATTACAGGCATGAGCCACTGACCTCTGGTCCATTTTTGTCACACAGAATATCAAAAAATATGCTCAGTGGTTGAGATTTACTATATTCAATACACATCAATTTCAGTATATAGTGGTACCTTTAACTGCTTTATCAAGGTCACACGTCTTTAAGGGAAATGGGCTGTTTTTATTGAAGATTGTGAGTGTGGCGGTGAAGATGCCGTCTTGTTTAGAGATCTTCCTGGTGCCAAGCTTAGGGGGATCGCTGGTCGCACCAGGTGCTCGGTGTCCTGCGGCAGGCGCCCATTGCTGGCTCCAGGCCAGTGGGCTGAGCCTGCTGCTGCAAGAGCCTTTCCCTTCTTGGGGGTCGGGAGGTGGGGAGGCCGCCTGCTGTGGGGCTCTTGTCCAGGAGCCGTGTTTTCGGTTGCTGAAGCCGCACATCCTCCTTCCTTCCGCTGTAGTGACCAGCAAAACAAGTAACATCAGAGCTAACTTTGAAAACCTTGCTAAGGAGAAAGAGCAAGAGGACCGGCGGAAGGCGGAAGCGGAGAGAGCTCAGCGGATGGCTAAGGAGCGGCAGGAGCAGGAAGAGGCCAGGAGGAAGCTGGAGGTGAGCGGCGAGGAGGCGGCTGGACCGCGCTCTCTCCCGGATCAGAGCTGAGGGGATTGAGGGCTCGGGGGCCTGGGCAGGGTCTATTCTTTCTTGTTCAGGCCAGGTTTTCCTTGGAAGGCATGTTTAACTCTCCTTTAAGGCCCCCCTTTAAGGCACATGTAACTTGTAGCCGCATATAAGCTGAGTCTCTGGCCAAGATGCTCCAGGCAGCTGGCTAGCCCTACCCTGGCCTTGCTGGCCCAGCCCCAGGACCCACCAGCTTGCCCTGCCCTTTGTCCCCGAGCTGACAGCAGAGTCATGTTGGCTTCCTCCTCCATGGAGCTCCTGTCCAGATGTCAGCCTGAGTCTTCTCACTCCTCCCCCTCCAGAAGCCCCTCCTTTCCCAGGTGGAGTTTTGGGGTTTGGAGGGGACTCTGCAGAGGCAGCCTGCTCTCTGGGCCCTGCTTCTGCTCAGCCACGCAGCCCCCCGACTCACCCAGGCCCCTGGGCTACGGAGAAGCGCCCCCAAAGGAAGATGCCAGAAGTGCACCTCTGGCGCGGGCAGAGCTCAAGCCTGTCTCTGGGTGCTTTGGGTCTAGCCTGGGTGGCTTGCCGCCGGCAAGGATTTGGGGGCTGTGAATAGAGCCTGGGGCCTACAGATGTGTGTGTGTAGTTACCAAGCGTGGCTCTGCAGCTGGGGCCTCTGCCAGCCTGTCTGGAAGCCTGGGCTTCTGCCCACCCCAGGCCCTGCCACTGTGGGGCCACACAGCACATGGTAGTTCCTGTGTTTTACCTGTGGATGGCACCAGGTAGCGTGGGAATTTACAACTGTCCTGTTGGGGTCAGGCAAGGCCATAGATGACATGAACCGTGCGAGGATCTCGAGACCAGGGGTGGTTTTTTCTTCAACAAAACAAGATAGCACTACCATTGTTCCCATTAGAGTGAGGCAGCCCGCAGAGGCAGAGGAGGCAGGAGGTTTGGAGTGGACACACGGGGTTCAGATCCTGCCTGGGCAGCTCCCTAGCCACTGTGCCTGCGCCTGCCACCTAACGCCCTCAGACTCAGCGTCCGGCACTGGAGCCCGTAGGCTGTCAGTCAGTTTCCTGTCACTGCTGTAGCCACCACCACACAGACAGCACACCGCTAGTGTCTACGGCTCTGGAAGCCAGAAGTCCTCGGAGATGTCAGCAGGGCTGTGCTCCTCCTGGCAGCCCCGCGGCCCCATCCTCCCATCTCCAGCCTCTGCTTTCATCGTCACCGCCCCTGTCTGTTCTCACGTTCCTGCCCTGCTCCTCAAGGGACCTTTCATTATATTGGGTCCACCCAGGCAGTCCAGAGATCTCCCCCTCACAGAACCCGTAGGTTCATCACACACAGAAGTCCCTCCTCATAGGATCTGAGGGATGGGATGTCAGCAGCTTTGAGAGGTCATTATTCTACCCCAGTTCATCTTTTAGCCCCTAAAGATTCATGTCCATCCCATAGGCAGACACACAGCCCATTTTAAGGTCCCCAGTCTCAGCCCATTGCAGCATTAACTGAGGCTCCCAAATCTGCCTGACTTGTCTAATCCGTGTGGGTAAGACATGAGCCGTGACCCGGTCCTGGCAGTGTCACGTACTGTCTGTGTGATCTCAGCCTCAGAGCACAGTTGCCCCTCGGATCCTGCCTGGGTGCTGACGGGATCTGAGGCTTGGTGCCCTGACTCAGCCTTGGGCCTGGGTGCTGACGGGATCTGAGGCTTGGTGCCCTGACTCAGCCTTGGGCTTGGGTGCTGATGGGATCTGAGGCTTGGGCCTCCAGCTCAGCCTTGGGCCTAAGTGCTGACGGGATCTGAGGCTTGGTGCTCCGGCTCAGCCTTGGGCCTGGGTGCTGAGGGATCTGAGGCTTGGTGCTCCAGCTCAGCCTTGGTGTGGGTATTTTCTGCTCCTTCCCCCAGAGTGTGTCTAGAGCTTGGGCACAGTCTTTTCAAACATGGCAGGGTGACAATGCAGAGCGGCATGGCAGCATTTTGATTGCTGTTTGTTTTCACAGGAGCAAGCTAGAGCCAAAACACAGACGCCCCCTTCGTCGCCCCCACCTCAGCCAGCTGAGGAGAGGCTGCCTACGAGCCCCGTCTATGAGGTTGGTGTCTTTGGTGTCTGAACTGGCGTGACTTACTGCCAGAGACTGGGTCCTGTTTGTGTAGCGGAGGAAACCGTTGAGGCCGGCAGCGCTGCATGGGTGTTGAGAGCATTGCTGCCGTCCGGGCCGGATCGGGGTGGGCCAGCATTGCCTGGGGGTGGGCAACGTGCCCTGGTGCTGTTGGGACAGTCGTGCAGGCCCCTGTGCTGTCCTCTCACCCCTCTGCAGCCTGCTACCATCTGGCCACTTCACTGTAGTCCCCACTGGGGTCCCCTGCTGCCAGATAATCAGATGGGGGGTCCTCACCCCACTTTCCCTCTGCTGTGCTGGATGCCACTGCCCTCCCTTGGCACTGAGCTGCCTTCTGAGCGATCTGCCTTCTGTGCCTGCCCCATTCAGCTCTCCAGCCTTGCAGCCCCTCCCGAGTGTGTCTGCAGACGTGCTCTCTGGCCTTCCCTGTACTGCTGACCCCCTCACAGGTCCTCGTCCCTGAGTTACCGAGCTGCCTGTTGGTGCCCCACCTGACTCTGACTTTGGGTCTCCTCCCTGCCAGCACCTCTGTGCTAACCATCACTTCTCCTGGCCTTGGCCCTGCCCCTTCTCCATCCCGTGGCCATCATCCTGGTCTGTGGATTCATGTATCCTCACCCAGGAGCCAGTGAGTTATACAGGGGCGCACACCCCAGTCTGTGGCAGTTCAGGAGCCCAGAGAGAGCCCTGGAGGCGGGCAGGGACTGGGGCCTGGGCCTTGCTGGCCGTGGCTTCATCTCCACCCTACTGTCCCTCCTTGGCTGTGCTGCTGCTGCTGCTGCCTTCTGCCCTTACTGCTAGGGCCTGGGGGGATGTGGTGGGCCAAGCCTCGCAGCTTGTCAGGAATTGGCCCACTCTAGATCCTCCCCTTGGCAGGCAGGGCTGTCTGCCACAAGAATGCTCCGGCGGCCTGCCCCTCCCGCACAGCTCAGCCCTTGCGTGGTTCCCAGTGAGGGTGGAGTTGCTCTCCCTGCCTAGTTACCCTCCCTGGCAAGCCAGTTCTCGGCCACCGGCTCTTACCAGAGCTCCTGGGTGCACGGTTCTCAGCAGTCTGCATTGCTTTCTGTCACTTACTGCCAGTGACATCAGGTGGACGCTGGTCAGAAGCGTTGATTAAAGCCACCATCGGTGATAAGCGGTTCAGAAATTTCGTTAGGGCTGAGAAGCTGGAGTAGCGGTTATGAATAAAGAGGCGTTCCACTGTGCACCTTTGTAGCTGAATGTGATTCTTTGGTGATGCCCTTCCAGGACTCTGCAGAGGGGATTTGTTCAGGGCAGAGCCCCGTCTGCAGGCTCGGCTGCCCTGGAGCCATGTGGTGCAGCTGCGGTCAGGCAGGGCCAGGGCCAGGCAGCACATGGCAGGAGGGTGGCCACTCAGCCCAAGGGTGCCTTGTGTGGCCTTGGAGATGGAGGCCTAAAAATAGAAATCAGCCAAATTAACCCAACAAAGGCAGGCTGTACCCCCAGGCAACAGAACAGGCAGGGGCGTGTCTCCCAACACGGAGCGTGGATGTGGTCGCTTTAGGACTAGGGAGTGTTACAGGGCTGAGGACCAGATCATCCAGAAGGAAATGCATGCCCCTCCCAGCACCGCCGCCATGGTGAACATGCTGGCTGGCCTGGCCTTCCTCTCCTGGGTCTGTTTCTCAGTCTTGGCTGGGGCTGAGAATGAGATGGCCCGTGGGTTTCTGCTGGCTGTGGCAGTGTGGCTGCTGCTCTCTAGAAGTCAGCAGGGGCCCCGTGCCACATGCGTGTGGCCCTTACTTCCCCAGGATGCGGCTTCCTTCAAGGCAGAGATGAGCTACAGAGGTCCTGTGAGCGGGCCAGAGCCGGAGCCCGTGTACAGCGTGGAGGCTGCTGACTACCGAGAGGCCGGCAGCCAGCAGGGCCTGGCCTACGCCACAGAGGCTGTCTACGAGAGCGCAGAGGTCCCGGGCCGCTATCCTGCAGGTACTGGCGCCCCACCTGCAGCGCCCTTCCCGGGGCGGGAAGCTCCCGGGACACCCTCCCCTGCCTGTGGTGTCCTTGCAGGGAGCCTGGGTTTTTTCACTTGCTTGCAGGGTTTCCCTCTCCCGGCCGAGAAGTGCTCTAGATACATTTGGGGCGGCAGCTCCTGTACTGGGTCCCAGAAAGATCCCCATTGTGCCGGGGACTGGTGGGCAGAGGCAGAGGAAGGGAGGGTTTCAGCTGCCATCCTGTGTCCTTGGGACAGGATCTTAGGAAGTGTCTGAAGTTTGAGGATGCTGGGACGGGCGTGGGACTCGGTGTTGCTCAGCTCTGTCCTGGCTTGCTTTCAGAGGACGGCACCTACGATGAGTACGAGAACGACCCGGGAATCACAGCCGTCGCCCTGTACGACTACCAGGCTGGTGAGCGGCTCGCGCTCGGAGGGAGGCCCGGGTGGTGGCGCCCGCCTCTGCCTGTTCCCTGAGAATCGCTTCTCCAGCATTGTTTTGACTTTAAGGAATAATTTATTTGAGATGATTGCAGAGGTATAGAAAAATTGCAGGCGTACTACCAAGAACACTCATGTCCCTCACCCAGATTCCATCTCCGCGCACACACAGCCCCGTTACCCTTAGTATTCTCGGAATCCTGGGAGAGCCGCAGGGGTACCTGCCACCCCCAAAGACTTCAGCATGTTTCCCAAGCCCCACCCTCGAGGTGAGGGGGCCATACAGATGCCTTTGATGTTCGAGACCACGTTCCTGCCTGTCCTGTCCCGGCCGCCAGCTCCCCGTGTGGCCCGCTCATTCCTGAGTTCCCTTTGCAGCCTTGGCGGTTTAAGAGCAGCCTCAGTTCTGCGCTCCCCGTGTTTCCTCAGAGCCAGGCTGAGCCATGCTCTGGTGGCGGTGAGGTCGTAGAGGCCACACGGTGGAGCTCTCTGCTAGGCATGACGTCCACCTGTTCCTCTTTCCACAAAGTCACCACCGCCCCTCCGCAGTTGATAAGCATCTTACAGGTGGCGTGGGATTCACCAGAACCCTGAGCGCTGCCTCCAAGCGCTTCCCGTTTCTTTCTGTCAGCACGAAAGCTGGCCTTCTACCATGAGCTGCTACCACCAGTGAGCACTGGCCGTCCGCGTTCAGTCCCTTTTGCACACGTGCGTTCGTGTGCACGCATGTCAGTGTGTCAGGTGTCTCGGCACCTGTACGTGGATTCTCATCACCTGGCTCTCGCCCTCCATTCCCATCTCAGCCATCACCTTGGGCTTCTCTCTGGGCGTCCCCGCCCATCCCTCCACACCCCTGTGACCTTGGACAGCCCTTCTCCCTGCCCCCTCCATGGACATGTCTGCCAGGGAGAGAAGGGATGGGAGGGCGGGCAGGGGTGGAGTGATGTGGAAACCTGCTCCTGAGGAAGGGGTCTGGGTGGGTTGGCGTTCTGTGTGAAGGGCTCTGTGTGTCTTTGTAGTCTTTCGGCTCTTGGCAGCCCAGGAGAGGCCGTAGGAGCCTCCGCAGTGCTGGCATCTCCGCAGGAGGCATCTCTGAGCAGGCTGCCTGGGAGCCCACTCTAGGTCGTGCCCTTTTTTTCCGGCAGGCCAGGAAACGCTCGCACTCAGCATCTTTCTCTGTGTTCTTCTCCCGCAGCGGGCGATGATGAGATCTCGTTTGACCCCGACGACATCATCACCAACATCGAGATGATTGATGATGGCTGGTGGCGTGGGGTGTGCAAGGGCCGGTACGGGCTCTTCCCAGCCAACTACGTGGAGCTGCGGCAGTAGGGCTGGCCCCACCCCCCGGAGCTGCGCCCCGGGTCCTCGCACTACAGATCAGGCCTTCATTGGTTCTTAGGTTTTGGGTTTTTCTTTTTTTTTTTTTTTTTTTTTTTTTTTTTTT